AATTTTGCTTTATAGGTTATGTATAGATTATGTCGTCAACTTTTCAGCACCATTGGTGTATTTACCTTTTAGAAATGTATTAGTTCATAGATAGAATTTCAAAAATATAAGTGGAAAACAAGTTTCTTTAAACAATTACTAATATTCGATTTTTTGTAAGCTATTTAATATTGGCACTTAAAAAATTAACTGCTCTAAATTTTTTATGAAAATCAATTAGGTTTTAAGCAATACTTTGCACAGTTCTTGGTAATGCATAGAAAAATATATGAAAAAATTGTAATTGGTTTGCATTGCGAAGAAAATAATCAAGATCCAGTCAATAGCGATCAATAGCTCGATAGTTCGAGCGAGTCGCTTGAAGCGACTAAATTTAATCGACTAAAGTAGTCGCTTCAAACGACTAATACTGTTCGCCTGAAGTTAGTCGCTTCAGCGACTAAAGTAGTCGACGATTGAAAAAATTAGTCGACTGAAAGTAGTCGTTGGTTACTATCAACTTAGTCGATAGTTTTTAGTCGATAGTGCCCATCACTAAGCACGTCTACGCGCAGCTAAAATGCCGTAGGTATAACTTGGGCGTTCCTTACGTGTCAACCCATAAAAATCGATCCTTTCAAGAGTGTTCTGCAATGCGCGTTGCTCGCGTATACTCTGCGTGACCACAGTCACGAACAACGCGCGTTGCAGAAGACACCAGGTAACAAGAAATAATGCAATAGTTGCGTTGAGTCAAAAAACATACATATATAGATTCATTATTGCATAAATACCACATGAAAGAACTAGTTGGTTCGTTAATGTATGTAGCCTTACGTACTAGACTGGACATATTATTTGCCTCAATGGAACTGTTGCAATTCAATTCGTGTCCAAGCAAAACGCATTGGTTACAAACTAAACACTTTCATGTTATTTAAACAAAATAAAAAATTATGCTTTATATTATAAGACGAATGAGAAACCAAGGATTGAAATCTTCTGTGATGCGAATTGGGCGGGAGACACGGATGACAGACATTCGTTGACAGGTGTAATAATGATCGGATCCAATGCTGTATAGTGGATATTCTTCAAACAGAAAAGTATATCCACGTCAACAATGGTGGCTGAATATGTAGCCTTAGAACATGTGACAAGAATGTGTGTATGCGTGTATGAACCTATGACCGAGCGTGACCGTGTATGAAAGAGGATATAAGAGAGAACTCAGTCAGGCTTTCCTTTTGCGATCCAACGCCTCGTTGTCACACCCGTGTATGTGTAACAACAGGTTATGGGCCCAGATAATCGCGATTAATATGAAGGGAAGGACGTTCTTACCACGTGGGTATTTTAAGGTTAAAATACGTGCAAGACCCGTGAGACACAAAAATAGCACAGAGAATTGAAACTCTTAACAAGGACAACTACGACGCCTGGAAGATTCAGATGCGTGCGTTATTAGTGAATAACGATGCGTGGTGTTATGTCAGTGGTCAATTGAAACCACCAACGGTCATAGCCGGTAACGCCGATTCGATAGCAACGTTTAAGATGTGGTTGAACAACGACGAAAAGGCAAAATCTGATATAGTGTTATCAATTAGTCCGTCGAAACTCAAGCAGATAAAAGAGTATCACATGTCTAACAATGTTTGGCAAAAATTAGAGAATATTTACCAGTCGCGTGGTGCCGCGAATAACGCGACGCTGTTGAAGCAGTTAACGTTGCAGCGCATGAACGAGGGCGAAGATATTCGGGAGCACCTTAGAAAATTCTTCGACGCCGTGGACAAGCTGAGCGAGATGGACATCGACGTAAACGTAGATTTACTGGTGATTTTGCTGCTGTATAGCTTACCACCAAGCTATGAACATTTTCGTTGCGCTATTTAGTCGCGAGACGAATTGCTGTCCCCCGATACGCTGCGACTTAAAATAGTGGAGGAAAACGGTGCACGTAAAAGCGATATAAGCGGTATAGTTCCGAACGCCATGGTCGCCGGAAGGAGTGCAAGAGCCTATCACGGAAAGAAGAACGACACCAGAGGTAAAGACAGCGCCAGCAACAACGGTTCGAAAGTAAAGTGTTTTCGATGTCGTAAAATGGGCAACAAAGCATCTGAGTGCAACAGCAATAGGGGAAATCCTCGTCAATCGATCAAAGGCGCCAGCAGCGACTTGTCGGTGTTTGCATCGACCGAGGATACTGTTACGAACGACGCGCAGTGGTGCGTGGATAGTGGTTGCACACTCATTTGTGCAACGAACTAAATTACTTCGTGAGTGTCGATAAAAGTAGGGATGGCAAACTAAACCTTGCCAGTAGCGCATCCACGGACATAAACGCGCCCGGCACAGTCCACATTGTTGCCGGACACAAAGGATCGGAGAAGGACGTCACGATAAAAGACGCGCTACACGTGCTGGACTTGCGTACTAAGCTGTAATCGGTAGGAAAAATTATAGAGGTGTCTGCGCGTACGTATGAGTTCGTTTAACTGCTAATATCTCGAAAATGGAGCTTCAGATCACAAACTGGCAAAGGATTTTTCGATTTGTATTTGTATGAGGAATATCCATGTTGCCGATTGTTCCATCTTTTTGGGACACTCTGCATAATAACGTCCCTGCGGATTAGTACCAATAAGCGCTACACGGTGTGCAGGGCGCACATGGTCGGTTTACGCCAGGGACCCTTTAATCATTAGATTAGAGGGTCTCTAGTGTACGCAAGACAAGAACCCTAGACGTCTACAAAGCTCAGAAAATTTCGCACCTAAAAGTAGCTACCCCTGACAACTTTGAGTGTATTGTCCAAGCGCGTGGCGTTACCGACGCCAACGATAACAGTGCATAAGGTTCCCGAAGGAACCTTCGGGTGCCGTGAGTGGGAGGATTGAGGGAGAAAGAAAGAGAGGGAGAGTATGAGAGCGGACGACGTATGATCAGAGCGAGCTATAGCAATATAGCATATGTATATAATATTAGTAAAAGAAGTTTTAGTTTAGCAATTATATGTAGTTTGCATATACAGGGTGAGGCACTTAAAACCGGCCACCTGAATAACTTGGCTGCTATTGGTGATAGGAAAAATGCATCAAGCCAAAATTATTTAATATCGAGGGGCTGATCATCCGATGTTACTAGTTTTTTGATGGGTGGAGGCGTCAAGGAGATACGAAGGTCATCTCTGTTTTTTTAAATGGAACGGTATGTTTTTTCACTTACATTCTGATAGAGTATTTCAAGACGAATACACTGACCTATTGGAAATGTCATTCGTGGTCTGGGTTCAGCCAATTGTGATGGAAAATTATTTACTTTGAGGAAATGGTCGAATACTTCCTTGCCGTCTCTGGTCGTTAATATAATTACTTCATCTCTGTTTCGTAATCTATTGTTATGGGTCGTTGAATGGAAATAAACATTCAATCACGATGTACGCTTCATCTGTACATACTATGATTAGTCGTTTATGAGAATCTCTGCCGAGCGAAGTGTATCTCAAGTTTCCGAAATACGTTATTCAATAGCGGAGAAAGTAGATATGGTTTTTGTTTATGGGGAATGTCGCCAAATTGTAAGAGATGCAGACCGTTTGTATGCTGAACGGTTTTCCGAACGTGTCACACCTTCACGATCTGCATTTACGAATGTTATTAAAAGTTTTAAAGAAACTGGACGTGTAGATAACAAAATACGAAGAAGATCCAAGGCAGCAACTGATGATCGAAATACAGTGAACATTTTAGCAGCTGTAACACAAAATCCCCCTGCTAGTACAAGGCACCCTGAGCACGTGAAAGTGGCATCAGTCAACGAAGTGTTTGGCGAATATTACATTTAAATAAATTCCACGCTTTTCATGTTTCACTTCACCAAGAATTACATGGGAATGATTTTTAAAACCGTGTAAATTTTTGTGAATGGGGTCTGCAGAAATTACAGAGTGATGAGCTGTTTTTGACTAAAGTTTTGTTTACGGACGAAGCCACATTTACAAACTGTGATCAAGTCAATCGTTATAATATGCATTATTGGTCAATAGAAAATCCACGGTGGCTGCAAGAAGTGGATGAACAAAGACCTTGATCTGTAAACGTTTTGTGTAGACTTCTTAACGGTGAAATAATTGGTCTTTATTTTATCGATGGCACATTCAACACTTCGAGATATAAACACATTTTAACGGAAATTTTGCCACACCTGCTGGAAAATATTCCGCTTCACATACGGCAAACTATGTGGTTCCAACAAGATGGATGCCCTGCTCATTCTGCACGGATAATTACTCAATTCCTCAACGTGACATTCGGAGATCGTTGGATTGGTCGTGCAGGAAATCATAAATGGCCCGTATGTTCTTCAAATTTAACACCTCTGGACTTCTATTTGTGGGGAAAATTAAAGCAGCAAGTGTATAATGAAATACCAACAACCAAAGAAGATATGAAAGAGCGTATAAGAAGAGCTTGTACTGTTAGATAAATAAATCAACGGTGCTTGATCATTTCCTCAAAGTAAATAATTTTCCATCACAATTGGCTTAACCCAGACCACGAATGACCTTTCCAATAGGTCATTGTATTCGTCTTGAAATACTCTATCAGAATGTAAGTGAAAAACATACCGTTCCATTTAAAAAAACAGAGATGACCTTCATATCTCCTTGACGCCTCCACCTATCAAAAAACTAGTAACATCGGATGATCAGCCCCTCCACACCAAATAATTTTGGCCTGATGCATTTTTCCTATCACCAATAGCAGCCAAGTTATTCAGGTGGCCGGTTTTAAGTGCCTCACCCTGTATACTGCTAAATATCCTGTTTTATAGTGAGAACGATTATTTCGTTTTAGCATTTTTTCCTACATTACAGTTACGAGAAAAATGGATTCAAGAAATTTGATTTACATTCTTACGAAAAATGTCTTTGCAAGAATATTCGCCTCTGTAGAAGTACAATGAAAAAACTGTAATATATAATCATACTCATTTATGAAATTATTACTTACCAATAGGAGATATTTCTGGAATGCTAGCAGTATATAAATCATGTGGGAAGATAGGTGCATTATTATTAACATCTCGGATTGTAATATTAACAGTGGCAGAATCAACAAAGATTCCATCGTTTGCTAGTATAACAAGTGCGATCCAATCACAGGTTGAATTTTTTAAATCCACCGAACCTTTATTTTTTATTGTAATTTCACCAGAATCTTGATCTATGGCAAAGAGTCCGAGATCATTGCCATCGACTATCGTGTATGTAATTTTGGACGTTTTGTCTTTGTCTCTGGCTTGCACTTTTAGATCTGGCTCAAATTTTTGAGCACCTTCGTCGATTACCGTGCGGTATTTGTCTTGTAAAAATCGTGGAGGACTGTCATTGGCATCTGACAAACTAATACGCAAGGAGACGCTGGTTGTTTGGCCTTGCCCGCCATTGTCAGTTGCCTTAAGAAAGAGAAATAGACGTTAGATATTTATTTATTAATTCTACATATTTACCAATGAATTGAAGAATATATGTTTCGGATATTTATTAATTTTGTCACATATACTATCATGTTTTAACTTAACTAATGTAAAAATGAAGGTATAATCTGTTACAGAAACAAAAAATAACTTAAATCAACATAAAATGAAATGGCAAACATGCTTTGTAAACTTTATTTTTTCAAATTCCTCATTTCTTCAACTACCTTGAATTTTGGCATGAACTCAAATTTAATATGGTAATTATATAAAAAGCACACCTCACCGACTTGAATGACCTTCAAATATATAGTACAGGATAACATTTTGAGTAACTTTTGCCTATACATGTTACCGCTGCTCGGCTGCAGTTTCTCAGATATAGAGAAAAATATTTTTTGTACCGTAGACGTACAGTGTTCGATGTACAGGGTGTCAAGAAAGTACATGTCGCGGCAATCATAGCCGGATTCTACACCTTTAATTTGATGGAGATACAGGTAACAACGTTGCAGAAGAACTGACGACCTTGAATTTGAAGGTCAACATTTTTTATTGGTGCATTATATTCTACTCATCGTGGGGATAAAATGTCTAGAAGGAACCATGAGTCGGAACTCGATCGTTCTCTTGAAAAGTGATGTTGGAGATTCATTCATTTCCAAAATGCTTTTACTTGTAATATATTGAATCTCGCAGTCCGATACAATTCAAATATCATTAAAAATTAGACATTGGGCATTTAAAGAGGTGAAACAATGTTATACAATGCCTCGACGAGAAAGCAGATGCCAGATCGGTAGGTACAGGCGCAAGATACGACACATTTCTCGACAAAGCTTGGACGGGGAACATCAGAACGTCATCCGTATACATTGTAGGACTAAAACAAGCTTGGGAATTAATTGCTCGTTTCGGCCGATTTTTGGCAGCAACGCCCTCTTTCTCATGTACGTGGCGCATTAGGGCGAAACTCGTATATATAACTCGTCGGCGCGTCGTATTACAAACCAATGTTAATTAGCCGAAATTTATTCGGAGTTTCATTCAAAGCCTCTGAATAAAAATAAAGGTTACAGATGAAAAATCCCTACTGCTTCGACAATAGCATGGTCTCTGAGTTGTATCTGACTCCGAGATTCAATATATTACAAATAAAAGCATTTTGAAAATGAATGAAACTCCAACATCATTTTTCTAGAGAACGGTTGACTTCAGACCCATAATTTCTTTCAGACTTTTCATCTTCACGACGAGTAAAATATACTGCAACGATAACAAAATTTTACCGTGAAATTCAAGGTCAAGGTCAATTTTTCTGCAACGATCTTACCTGTATCTATACCAAATCGAAGGTGTAGAATCCGGCTATGGTAGCCGCGGAATGTAATTTCTTGACACCCTGTACACAGGTTGTGGCCGTGCCAAGACACACGTTAACCAAGTCACCACCCATTTTTTTTTTTTACGGGAGAAAAACCTTGAAAAGGTGCACCGCCTCCGCTGGGGCGGATACGACCAATGCGGGATTTCACCCACTAAAAACCTTCTGGTGACCCTTTTGGGCGTGAGGGCTGGTCACAGGATCGCTGGACCACTCACCGCGACCAGCCCTGAACCAAGTCACTACCCCATGTTAAATGGACTCTCGCCTCCACGTGGTGCCGCCTGGGATCCTGTCGGGAGATTCGACTCCGGACGGGATGCGAAAGAGAGGGTGACCTTTATAGTTTATGAATATAAGAGTGTGTCTCTGTACTAGGGAGATCGTCGGGCCGGAGGCAATTGGAAGCGGAAGGAGGGTCTCGACTGCAGGAGGAAAGGAGAAGGAGTACGGGACAAGCGGGGAGCAGCCGAACAAGGAGGAATGGAGCTGGAGAAAGGGTAAGCAACAGTTGCCCAAGTACACATATATACGATGTGAATCCGGCCTCGCAAGAGGATGGCACGTAAGGGATACGGATTGGGAATAGAAAGAGTGGGACTAATGTTTGTCTCGAAGCTCGATCTATGTAGACCGTCCGTGAAGAGGAAGGGTGTAGGACGGGAGGATTCGGTGACTCCTACCCAGGCACAAAACTCCCTCTCAGTCCCCCCCTGAACCCGAGAGGTCAACCGGATCATCTACCGGGAACCCTCAAAGGCGAAGGGATAGGATGCCATAGGATTCATGTCCAATAAGTAGACTAAAACGTGGATCCAACCCGTACGTGCGGGGTGTTGGGATACGAGTCGGGAGGGGAGCGAGCAAAGAGGCGGTCGCCGCCCACTGACACGCTCCCCGAAGACCACTCGTGAAGAGGCAACACGGGGGAAAAGATAGATGGGGAACCCTGTCGACTCCAGCCGCATTTCGCCTCTCAGTCCCCGCCGCGATCCCAGGACGACGGAAAAACTGGGACAAGAACCAGGGTCCGCGGAGGACAACGGACCGGGTGGGTTCTGGAAGGTAGCCTGGGAGTGGCAAGGGCCCGGAACCCGAGGACCGTCCGTGAAGAGGGGAGGTAGAGGTATCCGTCCACGGACGGAATATCAGATGCAAATTCCCCCTTCGTCCTCGGTAATAGATTAAGATAGATGCCGGGGAATCCGATCGCCGACGTTAGCACGGGCATGCGTACACCGAGCGCACATACAAACACCTGTCCGTGTGGACGTCCGGTGGGCAAAGGACCCCGGTGCCGGAGAGCTGGCGGGTTAGCGGGTAAGGACGCGAGGTCAACAACTGGACCTGGAGGATCGGCGAAAGGATGCTCTGGGAACAGAGGAAAGTCACCATTCATCAGGATCGCTCAATCGGGCCCGAGGGGAGGTGGGTTCAGGGACGTTCCACGGTGTATAACTCTTCGGAGGCCTGGTCGTCCCGCTTGATTAGTTTTCACGCGACGGGGCCCGATTGCGATGCCGGACAGCGGGGCGTATACTGGCACACCGAGTCTCGGAGGCATGAAGAGCATGACTTTGCGAGACATCGGCCCAACGAGCCCCACGGACATCGTAATCTGGAAGGCAGTTCTTTATGAACGAAGCGCCAGACGTATAGTATGGCATTACTAAAAACAGGCCCCACGTGCCGGTAAAACACCGCGACCCTGGAACACATATGTCGACGGGTCGCGGGGGCGTTTGGCACACGCTGCAACGATCCGTGGTACGCCGGAGAGAGAGAGCGTCGATCAGTAGGGACGGGTGCGCTCTTCGACCCAGAACGCGACCGGCGGTCCCTGATGAAGCTGATATTTACTCCTCGGAGAAATTTCGGCGAAGTCCGGTGGGCTGCCGTTTCGCGTCGCGTTCCTTGCAGACTCTAGGGTGGGGGGAGGGCGCGACCTACTCTATCTCGTTTTCTCTTCTATTAAACTCACATACCCAGCTATAGATTAGACTAGAATCACATGGCGGTGGATTCATTTATGGTCCACGGCGGCTCCCAGGGGAGGTGATCGCCGAACCCGACCACGTCTCTCCTTGAGGTCGGCTAGAACGGCCTCCCCATGTATCGCTGGTGGAGTCCCAGGACTCCCTTCTTGTCCTTGAAGGGGGGTGGTAATTTGTGAAGGGTACCAGAGGAGGGGGGGCTCCTGAATTATTCGGGACATAGGCAGGTAACTCACTAGGGGGTTGAAATAGGCGACACAGCTCTCTCTCGAGGATGGAACGTACGCAAGCACGGTGATTCCACCCCTGGTACAGACTCGGTCTGTGGGTGAAGCGAAGAGTGAGCCGGTACTCACTTTGGAGACGAAGGATCGGTTGCCCCGACGACCATACTCCCTTAGCTAATTTCTCAGGTAGGGATGGGACGATCCTAGTGACTCTCCGCCCCCCGGGCGAGTACTTCCTCGCCTCCATTTGGCCCGGGCCTAAAAAAGTTGGTCGGGAAGGAAAACTGGGGGAAACAGTCTCCCCGGGTAATGCCCACCGCAGTCCTATTGCAGGGCTGTGTGAAAGCTACCGGCGTTTCGAGCCACAGCTGCGGCCTTGGGGGGAAATCGCACTTCCCCTCCCCCGGGAGAAGCGAGGATAAACTAAACTAAACTAAACTGGGGGTGTCACCCCTGTCGCGGTCAGTCCAAAGGAGGAAGACAGTGTCGAGAGGTGACCCTTCGACACTGTCAGATGGTGGAGGTGGGACGGTTAAAACCCGTCTATCGGGAGGGCCTCAACCCACCCCCCCCCCTATTGAGGAGTGCTCTTCCCCCTTCTGGAGAGGAGCATGGGTAGGGTCGGTTGCGGATGCGTGCAACAGCGATGCCCGCAATCGGCCCTTTCGCTCGAGCGGGTCACCGATAGGTAAGAATCCCACACAAGCCGCCTCCGCCCCCAGCAGAGGCGGTACATCCTTTGAAGGTTTCTTTTCGAAAAAAAAAATATAAATGGGTGTTGTGTGGCGGTATGTTGGAGTGTGTGGTTAACAACGATTGGTGTGTGATGGAATTTTTTACATATGATGTGGTGTGTACCCGCCCACCCATCCACTCACACACGCACATGTACCGTGTGCAAAAATCGTTACGGCAGCCGAACTCAGCATACATACTAATGCGGAACCTAATCACGGCCTACAACCTTCAAGATATGATATACATATAAGTACTATTGAAACTATTTTTACGAATATTTCAAAAAGTAAAGCTGAGCGCCGTAACATGTATAGAGAAAAGTTTTTCACAATGTTGTTCCCTACAACATATTTGATGTGCCCTTTTTTGTATAATTACATTTAATTTTAACATAGAAAGTAAGTACCTTGTATGTGAGGAAATATTCTGTTTGTTCTTCATAATCTAGGCACGGTGAAGTTCCAGGTGTTGAACAAGAGGCTACTGTGATGGTTCCAGTCTTTTTGTCTACAGCAAAATGCTGTGCTCCTTGGCCTAACAACTGATAAGCTATTCCTGCTACTAGAAAACAATTTATTTTGTAGAATTTTTATCAATGTATATTACCGAAATAAAATTTCAGCTTACATAATAATGTTTAGTCTAATGTGTAATTAGTTAATTACAACTACGTTATTAATTGTATTTATCGGGTAATATTGGAAGATTATTAGTTTTTATAATTAATTATAAAGTACAACTGAGATTAAAGTAATTGTTAATTATATGTATAATTAAGAAATGAAAGTTGATTATTAATACATTTTGCATTTACGTGTGGATTTGATTGTGTTTGTGATGCGAATTTATCGCGAGCCGCGTCGTTCATTGGATTGAACCGACCGCCTTAGGATAGCTAGTTCTATCCTGAAAAGGATACGAAGTGAAGGTGGTGTTGCAACGACAAAAAAACACACCGGAGCTTGGCCGGAACAGTTTATTATGGAGAGACGTAACAATGTCTCACGAAAACCCGATTACACTCGGTGGGCACTAGAGAGCCGCGAAGTGGTGATCGAGAGTACCGTACACGATATGTCTAGGCGATCACGAAAATTGTTTACGCTAATCGCCGATTTTCGTTACAACTGTACTCGAGCGTCGAGAGCGATAGATATAACACGTGTAGTGTTGCAATAATTAACGCCCGAGTTGAAAAATGAGAGGTTTGTTACGATCTGCGATCACTACAAAGGTTTACGACAGAATGCTAGGCGAGCAGCGAAGTTTCTACCGGTTTTCGTTCAAATTCGTTAGGATTGTTCAGAGACGCGCCGGATTGGTTCTACGAATATCGATCACCGCAAACTATCGATAGATGATCGATACTTCGGACAGAGTTGCGCAGAGTCCGTAAACATGCCCACGCACGCGCTCTAACGCACCACGGTCGCGAAATTCAGGGACGAAACTAGCAAATCGGCATTGGGCGCACGCAATCATTGACAGGCCCGCACCATGGTGCGAGAGCGCCCCGTCCCATCGACTTCTGACAAACGCGTCTCTTCCCTTTTCATTCCGAAACAGATTGCAATGCAAATTATAATACTACGAGTGAATATATTGTCGGTTAAAGAGAACTTTTACACTGACACTAATTATAATTTATTTGCATATGTCTTGTTGTAATTAACATTCATTATAGTTGTAGGTAACTGCGATATGCAGTGGAGCTGATTAATCGTGTAACTAATCGTTTAATTTTTATCCTGGATTCTTGTTAGTTATAAAATTCAAATTTGTAATTTGTTCGTGTACAAAAAGAAAATAAACTAATTTCACACTAGAACTACCAAGCAAATCAAAATGGTTTGACAATACACTCTTACAAGGATGATTAAAATGTTATAATAATACATTTTCTCAGATCTTTTGTAACTTTTATTACGATACGACATTAAAGAAATTAATTAATTTATAAATTTGTACATTTTCAAAAGTTTGCCATATTTATCGATCGATCGAAAAAGATGTACGTTTATCGTTGGTAGTTCTAGTGTTAATAACTTGTGGAACAATTTTTTATAATATTTTATGACAATATCAAGAAATATAAAATGTTTCTTGAACAATGTAACGATTCTCTAACTACTTTTTTTCATATACAATACATATGATAGTACAATATATGGAATATAATATTAATACATCAAAGGATATTAACATTTGTATTTTAGTTATTGGTATTAATAAAATGTATGTAACTTACTAGAGAAACGTTTCTAAATAATTTAATTCGTCGAATTCTATTCAAATTTATTTTTTACAAATACACGTTGAGAAAACAACGGAGGTCGACCACCTAACACAACTCTCAATAAGGCTCATGTATTTTTAAGATGATACAACTTGTTTCCCCTTTACCTTGGAAATTATTTTAAATACAGCGATGTTTTTTCAACAGTGTTTGATATCTCTTTATAGAATATAATATCCCTTTGCGGACGATCGACGCATATGTGTGTTCGGCGTAAACCATTAATGTGGCCGATGAACTCATATACATATGTCTTCGGAAAAAACAACCGATAGTGTCGAAAATTGCCACAGCGACTTGGCTCTATAAAGTGTTCGACTTCACACTGTGCCGTCCGCAAAAGAATATAGTGTACACATAGTATTGGAAAAGTTTGAAAAAGGAGTGCAAACAAATTACGTTCACTATTTTTACTGATAATAATCATTTTTAGGAAGGGCAATAATTCTATTCTGAATTCCTGGTTGATCATAAGTATTGATGGGATTTGGAACCCTATGAATCGCTTGAAATCTGTCTTGAATTTGTGGCGATAGATTTGACTCACTTCGAATCTGATTCCAAGCTTAAAACTCTAGAAAGTCTTGAACGTATTAAAAGTCTTGAAAGCTTTGATCATCATGAATGTCTTGGAAGTCTTGAACTGTTTTGGTACTCTTGAAAGTGTTAAGACTTTTGATAGGTTTAGAAAGCTTGATGGGTATTTAACACCTTACAGGCTTTTTGACTGTTTTTGTTCAAGCAGTGTCATTGATATAAAATATTAAAGGACGTCCGGAAATTTCAAGTTATCATAAATATATTTATTTATCTTTTTTATCACATAATTATTTATTAATTTTGATTTCATTGTTTTATTTAATCAATAATGTTTCTCCATACTGTTTTTTTTAAATCAGTTCGGTATTTTTCCTTCGTTTACACCCCACGCTATATTAACTTAAAATACGATTTTGTTATTGAGTAAGTAATACATATGTATAAGCAATAAGTTTATTCTTTTAGAAATTCTGCCTCGATCATTGCGAAACCTTTTCTATTTCAATTTATTTTTTTTCTCATCCTCCATAAAAAAACAAATGTATACAGTGTGTTCGACAACTAGTGGGAAAAAATTTAAGGGGTGATTCTTTGATGCAAAATTAGACGAAAATCAAGAATAACGAAATTGCGAAAAATGCTTTGTTTGTTAGTTATAAGCGTTTAAAAATTGACCCAAATCATGGCAATCCGCGCGCACGGAGTGTCAGCGGATCACGGCTCATCAGGGGCGTACAGTCACTTTAAAGACTCAACGACGTGCAGGAAAAGTCGGTAGAACAGCTGTTTACTTACCCCGTAGAAGATGTCGATAACTTGTGCCCGCGGTATTTGAGTCGAATCCACCTGTATCGCATTAACTCTGATTACTCGATAAAATTCGCAAGAAATGTAAATATCTTCCTACGAATATTATCGAGTAGAGAGGGTCAATGCCCCCTCTAGTTGTCACGTATCCCAATTGTCCTGTCCACGAGTATCCATGAAATAAATTCGCACATGCACGTACACCACAGAAGTCCGCGAAAAGTGTCCACACGCACTGAGCCATTGTCCCGTCCGTGAAAAGTGTCTATACACATTGGGCGATTGTCCCGACCGCGAAATATGTTCACACACTGCGCGATTAAGTAGACCCGCAAGCTGTTCCTCCGTTGGGTTTAACACTCTATAGGTTACACAAAACTAACACTCAAAATAATTAATTTAAAACTATTTAACACTAACTTTTATACTAATTTTTAACACGATATAATTAATAAAACCTACAATATTTAATAATACCTGCAATAATGAATAAAACCTACAATATTTATTAAAACCTGCAATAATGAATAAAATCTACAATATTTAATAAAACTTGCAATAATTAATCAAATCTACAATACTTAATAAAACCTACAATAATTAATAAGACTTACAATAATTAATTTGCACTATTTATAACGACGACATACGCGACACTACTAAATAATCACTACGTAATCGCTAAATAAACTAAAACTTAGTTTTCCGAAGATGAACTCTATTTGCTCGTAGAATGCAAAGGGCACCGTTCGGAAAGGACGACTGATATTGTTGAACTGATCCTCCCTCGTTAGGATCGATGTGGCGTAATAGGTCGATCCCCAGTCTTTCATGATCAATACTTTTTGGGAAGGAAAAACTGCATGGGAAAGTGTCTTGGAGGTTGCGTTTCTTTTCGTATATTCTTAGAGCAACATCTGTATTTTTTTCTTATACACCACTCGGGGCCTCGAGGCTACTTGGCCACGATGCCGAGGGTGTCCGAGTCTGGACATTATAAAACTGTCTCTTGTCTTCTGCAGGACGACCACCCGCGGATTTCCTGTAACGTCTTACTGCCATCGACGAAGACCTTGCCTATTGTGTTTTCGGCCGTCCCTCTAGACATTAACTTGTAAAAAGAACTTTCAACCTCGAATTCCAATTCCATGTTAGAAATGGTTCATATTACACCGTATGTATGTGTTTAACAATTTTATTTATTTTAGTTTCTTAGTTTCTTCATGCATCGTAATGAAGGTGCGGCAAATTTCATCTTAGTTTCATTCTAATATCATTATACGTTTTGTAGGATGCATGTTAATTGCATATTATGTCTTTGCGGAAACAAGAACCTCAAACACTTGGAGTAAGATCGAAGTGGTAATAAAATGTGCAATGCACATAAAACATACAGTAAGTCCATATTCAATATTTCAGGAATAAACAGCGGCGCGCTCCGTCTCAGGTAGCAAGCCGCTTTCGTCGGTCGACCGTAAGCGGCTGGTGTCATTCATACCTGAATGACTTTACATTTGGGGGTGACTGTGTGGACGAGCTTGTCCTCCGTCGCGGGGTGCCGAACGATGTTTTTAAACGAGTGCATGCGTTAATTGCTTATCGTTCGAAGCTTCGCTTGATAGGATAATATCTTTATTCCTGAAATATTAAATATTGTAAGTATTAGTTTATTTAGCGGTTACGTAGTGATTATTTAGTAGTGTCCCGTATGTCATCGTTATAAATAGTACAAATTAATTATTGCAAGTTTTATTAAGTATTGTAGATTTTATTAATTATTGCAAGTTTTATTAAATATTGTAGATTTTATTCATTATTGCAGGTTTTATTAAATATTGTAGGTTTTATTCATTATTGCAGGTTTTATTAAATATTGTAGGTTTTATTCATTATTGCAGGTATTATTAAATATTGTAGGTTTTATTAATTATATCGTGTTAAAAATTAGTATAAAAGTTAGTGTTAAATAGTTTTAAATTAATTATTTTGAGTGTTAGTTTTGTGTAACTTATAGAGTGGTAAACCCAACGGAGGAACAGCTCGCGGGTCTACTTAATCGCGCAGTGTGTGAACATTTTTCGCGGTCGGGACAATCGCGCAGTGTGTATGGACATTTTTCGCGGACGGGACAATGACTCAGTGTGTGCGGACACTTTTCGCGGACTTCTGTGGTGCACATGCGTGTGCGGATTAATTTCATGGATACTCGTGGACAGGACAATTGTGATACGTGACAACTAGAGGGGGCATTAACCCTCTCTACTCGATAATATTCGTAAGAAGATATTTATATTTCTTGCGAATTTTATCGAGTAACCAGAGTTAATGCAATACAGGTGGATTCGACTCAAATACCGCAGGCACAAGTTATCGACATCTTCTACGGCGTAAGTAAACAGCTGTTCTACCGACTTTTCCTGCACGTCGTTGAGTCTTTAAAGTGACTGTACGCCCCTGATTAGCCGTGATCCGCTGACACTCTGTGCGCGCGGATTGCCATGATTTGGGTCAATTTTTAAACGCTTATAACTAACAAACGAAGCATTTTTCGCAATTTCGTTATTCTTGATTTTCGTCTTATTTTGCCTCAAAGAATCACCCCTTAAATTTTTTCCCACTAGTTGTCGAACACCCTGTCCTTTAATATTTTATGTTAATGATATAACAAAAACAGCAAAAAACCCTGTAAGATATAAAATACCCATCAAGCTTTCAAAACCTATCGAAACTATGAACACTTTCAAGACTTCCAAGAGGCTCAGCACTTCCAAGACCGCTCAAGACTTTTTCCAAGATTTTCAAGAATTTCAAGACTTCCACATCGTGTCGAAACTTTAAGAAATTTTAAAAATTGTATCAGATTAGAAACGATTCGAATTTTTCGTCGGTATACAGATTCCGAGCGATTCGAAGCGATTCAAATCCCATTACTAATCATAAGCACCCGTATTTATAGTTATAAAAGGTCCATGATACAAATTAATATGTTATCGTCAATGTATTTTAAGTAGAATCGATGACGGATGGTCTGGCGCTAACGGTACCTATGCGTATTCTGTGAGCCAGCTATTAACCCCTTGGGGGTCGAGGTTGGTCTGTATATTCAAAATGTTTTTATAACTATCTTTAAATAGATATATCTAAGAAATTGCGGACAAATAGTAGCTGTTCTATGATACTAGTTTGTATGCGTGCATTGCCCGGGACTCGGAACTGACAGAGAAATTGTATATCAAAGTCTTTCCTAACTGGGAAGTGTGTACGCGGACACGTGTACATGTAATTACAAAGATTGTAGGTCTGAACGGGTTTTAATTCTATTGATGTCGCCATCTTTTTGATTGGTATTATTTTTCTCGTTGTTCTTCTATCTTTTCCTTTGGAAGTAGTGAAACAATTCATTCGACAGTTGTCTACGAGTGGTCAAAACACAGAACTTGGTCGTTTAGAAGAGCATTCAATGTCCAGAGATTTACCCGTTTCGTCCGACTATGCCAGGCCTGGCCGAAATATTCGCCCGCAGGGAAACATTAACAATAACACTAGCCGCCATCACTCGCTTGTGTTGTGCTGTCATCCTCGGGCAAGAGGTACGCACGCATGCTGACTGTCCCCACTTTCGGCATTCACGAAGTCTCTAATCGTCGGATCTTAGCGACACACGTTGGCATAGTGACTATGCGTTTTGCCCCGCGGGTGGCGTTATTCATAGGGTCATAGCTGCGATGACACTCGCGTGACCCGCAGGGCAGCCGGGTCGAGGAGGTGGTACTAGGGGTACCACCTCCTTTCGCGGTCGGCCCACGAGAAGACAGCGTCGAAAGGTGACCCCTCGGCGCTGTAGGTAGGAGGTGGAGGGACGGCATCATAGCCGTCCCGGGAGGGGAAGCAATCGGCCCCTTCCAGAGAAGAGCCCTTCCCTTAAATACCTATAGGGGAGTGCAATGGGCGGGGCTGGTTGCGGTTATGCTAAGCGATCCCGTTGCCAGCCCTACACCCGAGGGTCACCGGGGGGTTTTTAGTGGATGAAACCCCACATTGGCCGTCTCCGCCCCCAGCGGAGACGGTGCTCCTTTCAAGGATTTTTCCCCCCTAAAAAAAGAAAAAAAAAGTGACTATGTATTAGGAGTGGGGCAATCACAGCATGCGCGCGCACCCTCTGCCCGAGACTGGCAACACAACACAAGGGAGTGGTGGGGGCTGGTGTTATTGTTTATGTAGCCCCACAGGCGAATATTTGACTAGGCCTGCATTATGCGGCAGTTCTTTAGAGCGGCACTACCTTTTATTTGCGCAGCGAGAGGATCACTCTATAACTAAACGAAGCAGGCGACACGTTGCTGCGCGATGTCACCGTGAAACGCCTACAGGCCACTGACGCTTCGAGTAATCCTGCCATAAATTATCTAAATCCAAACTAAAGACAACACACTTCCAATAGGCAAGCCGTAGGCCTCTTGTACTCCTACATTATGTTAATATTTGTGTTAATTATGCTACATGGTATTCTGTGAGAATTATTATTCACTCTTTATTTTTCATGTATCCCAAACAGTTCTCACTGTGATACCAAATGGGTGAAATTTTTGTAATTTATTATATTTTTGCCACAGTAGTAATTATGGTTTCTTATAATATCCTTCTCATAAATCTACTTATTGTATTTACCTTCCACTATCACGATCTTTGGCAGTGATAGTTATAACGGGTGTTGCAGGTGGTGCAGTTTCCAATACCGTGGCTGTATAAGTCGCTCTACTGAAAGAGGGTGAGTTATCGTTTGCATCCGTAATGGAGACGGTCACAGTTGCAGTAGAAGAAAGCTTAGGATTTGTGTGAACCTCTTCCGCGACGACCTAAAGAATTATGAGAATATTTTTTCACTTTTGAGTTACTTGGATGGGAGTGTTCAAACGTTTGGGAAAGAGCTTTTTACAAACAACAAAATAGTGTACCTTTGTACATTTCAAGTTAATATACCACTAAAAAACCACATAGCCATCTGTTTCCGCATTCGACTTGGGTTTTGCAGGCGAAACCTGCTGACAAAATCATAAAGCAAATTGGCAGCAAATTAGCAGCAAGTCTTATAACACAACCCAGGCCAACTAACTTAGGTCAATTTATAACCTAGGCCAGGCCTGTCCAACTTGTGGCCCGCGGGTCAAAATCGATAATCGCCCCTACCGGCTTGCTCTTTCAGCCGAGGGGAATGACCCCCTTCCATATCCACAAGCAGCCCGACGATGTAGAGAAAAGAAAGCGTGTGTACATGCTCTGACTGTCCCCACTTCTGACGCTCCAGAAATTCCTACCCGCACGTACCTCTTGCCCCACGATCCCATCGCAGCGCAAGCGAGTAGTGGAGTATGGACTGAGTGATGGTGGGGACCGCGTCGTCTGGCGAAATGACCCGCGGGCCACATGTTGGACAGGCCTGACCTAGGCTATATTGCAGCACTTGCTGTTAATCTGCTGCCAATCTCCGTGTACGTTATTGATAGCAGATCTTGCATCAAACTTGTAGCCATGTTAAGTACATGACCTTATAACAGGCATTGGACAAAATTTGGCTTTGCAGGTTTGGCTGACTGGGAGTCGTTTATGTAAGGTTAGATGTTTAAAATAATACGTCATTATGTTAAAAATGAAGGTGACTTTCATATGATCTTAATACTTTTGTATGAAAAACTACGTTAGTTAATTGCATGGGCGTAGCCAGGTTATCATTTGAGGGGGGGGGCGGCAGCATCCAATTTTGTTCGTTCAGTGAAGGGCACTTGTCACCTCCCTCCCCCGCTCCCTAGCTACTCTCATTTATGTAAAAGACACATTTATTCTTTTAAACAAATTATGAAATCCACCAGTCTTTATAATGTCCAATGGAAATGTCATTTCTTAATGTAAATTCCAGTTTGTACACATTTGTAATGTAATTTTTACTCTATTTTTCCTTCTTTATCATCTCCGTTAAGAGGACACACCTTTTTTGAACACTATATGTTTTCCTAAAGAATCTTGAAATTATATAACTTCATACACGTTACTAAATATAACAAGTGATGGTAATTATTTACAAAGTGGCATATTGCACCGATTTTTATGACCATGAAATAGGTTTTCAAGGTCATCATTTTGAACAACTTTTCCCTATATACGTTACTGTCGCTCGGCCTTAGTTTTCAAGTTACAGGTTCCTCTCGAATATCGCCCCAAACTTGGATCCGCGCCGGGATAATAATCTTCGATGGCGAAATGCTTCAGACCCTCGTAAATAGGTTTTTTGTCCGAAGCTCGAGCGTCTGCAAATCGCCCTTATAGTGTTTCGAACATAGAAAAGGTCAAGCGAGTGAAAAACGGAAAGAGGAAGCTTCTGTTTACACTCGACTCGGCTGCGTGACCCGCTTGCAACACTCTCGCCTGCCAATGGTTACATTATAGCCGACCACTAAGAGTGTGCGAGTACTCGAATTATTTGAGTAACTCGAAATTCGAGTCAAATAATGATCGGTCGGACGAACCGAGTCGAGCGTTCGAGTTCTTGAAACTATTTGAAATCGACGAACTGTTCGACAACAGTGCGAGCTACTTGAACAACTCAAACGGTTCGAATATTCGAGCGCTCGAGACGGCTTCCCAATCATGAGCCAACGGTTCAACGTTGGGAGCCCAAAAAAAGAATACATTCCCGAATATCATTGAGACAACACTAATGCAACGATGATACTTTTTTATTTTTGATTCTTTGTTAATGAAACTTTTACTTGCATGTTGGTGTGATGTTTCTGATCAAAATGATACCACACACGACATAATTTGGATCATATTTACTCATGTAGAAAGTATTATGCAATTCATATTCGTTTCTGATAAATCACCGATACGATTTTTTAAATACGTTTGAAACTAACAATGTAATTTTTTTTAAACGCAACTACATATTTTATTATTGCTATGTTATTAAGCATTTTAAGACAAATTCAACGACATATTTGAAAATTCTGTTCGAATAATAATTTGATTGAATATTGCTGGCAAATATCAAGTCTGGTTAGCTTGTTTCCATAACATATGATCCGCGAGAGAATATTCAAATAGTGATCCGAAAAATTATGGTTCAAATAGGACTTTCAAATGTATTGTTGAATTCATCTTGAGATGCTTAATAACTCGGCAATAATAAAAATATGCAGTTCCAATTTAAAAAATTACTAAATTATTCAAAGCTCTGTAAAGAACAATTAGAAAAGGAAATTCAAATGTTCTATTAGGTGTGTTGCATGAAAACAAACAACTTTTCTCTGAAACAGTTTTTCATATTTTCAATGGTTAGAGAAGTAGTGTGCACTTATACACTTAACCGGAACGCCATGCACTGTGCTTCGGGCGGCACCAGAATGTCTTTGAAGCTCTATCCTGGCTACAATTATGAAATGATACTAATGAAATTTGGTATCCTTATCGAAAAACATTCAAGGAACAACATATATTTTTTTCAGATTTTGAAAAACGTGAGCACTGCAGTCAGTTTCAGATTTTTAAAAACGTGTAATGCAGTCGCCAGTAGGGGGCCACCTATGCCAGAATGAAGTGTACTCCTAACCTACTTTTAACAAAAGTTTTTTGCGAATACTACAGCTGAGCAGCAGTAACATGAATAGTTGTTCAGAACGATGGCCTTGGCCATATATTTCAACGTCATGGAAATCGGTGAGGTACCTCTTTGTAAATAATGATCCAAGTCATTCCAAACCTTTGAACATTACTATAAAATTGCACAATTATACCAGAATGATAAATTTCCGTTGGTTCGGATTTTCGTAATCGAGTGAGCCATTGGCGACACGAATGTTCACGGACGTGCTTCCAGTTGCCATAGTCGGTTCGATAGTAAATGCTCCATCCGTAATATCTTCTAGACGTAACGAGAATACGGAGTTCAAGCCCTGTAACAATGAAATGTTATAAAATTTGTAAATTATATTATAACAAACTGGAAAATTTGAAATTACATTATGATTCAAAACATTGGTGCAATTTGAAATTAAAATTGGAGTTGGAGTTTTATTATTTATACATTTTTTAAAAAGTATAATATTCTTCGTCAACGTCATGTTTTAGAAGAAAAATCCTTTCCAACTAACTAAATTATTCGAATTTTCAGCTTTATAATTATAGAAAATATAAAATTTATAATGTTTTGTGTTTTATACTGATATAATATATTCATGTGATAGTATAAATCAAAATGCAAATGAAATTCTAACGAAGAGACCAGATGATTCTCTTCCTCCACTTCGTTGTATTGTGCGGTACTATTCTGTATATTCTCTTAATGTAACCATTTCTATAGACTCTTTGAAGTCATGTCGCAATTTTGTCGTAAGACTCTTATTTTGAAGAAGTTTGTAAATACATCATGGGTTTTTTGGAGAAACGTTTAGAGTCGTCGTTCTTAAATAGATCAATTTTATTCGTGAAGTAGGAATTTTTATTCATATGTTACATCCAAATTCCTTCCAAAACATTGTCTAATCCTTTCGGAGATGGAGTTACACTGTTTAGTCTATTATAATTTGTTTAGTCTATCTGGCGGCAGTCGCGGCGACATGGTAGTCATGACTTACTAGAAGAAAACTCTCCTGCAGGGTAGAGTTGATTTCCTAGAAGAACCTCTCTCCTGCACAGAATTTTTCATGCCCATATATGGAACTGGAGCATCAGCCCCACCATTTTTCCATCCTAATTTTTGGAAAAAGAAATGGCTGCTGAACATACGCGAGTTTAGATCAATGCAACAACATCAAGAACAGTTTAACACAGAGAATTCAAGTAAGATCGAATACGAGTCCCCTTCACGCAATTATCAAATCGTACAATATTTTAGTCTACTGTTACGTATTTCCGTATACCTCCATAGAATTAGCCCCCGCATTTTTCAGTGCGTCAAAACCGAGTAAGACAAAACGATTTCAATTTAATATTAGAGTCAAGCTAAGTCTTAGCTTCTCGATACTTGCACATACAGAACAATTGTAATAAGCCTTTTTATTATTTTGAATATATACTTATTATTAGGTTCATTTGTAATCTGGTGTGGATTCATTCAAACCTTATCACACAGGTTAAGTCGGCAACTAGCAATATAACCCACAATCTTTACTGCTCGAGATGTAACGAATTTAACTTAAAGTTACGAGGCCAACTAACATTCCTAGTGGTACTCCGGTGATGGAATAAGCATCGGCCTATCCACGAGTCACAATTCCCTATGTGGTACCCCGGTATCCTCGGCTATAATAACAACCGGAAGCCTCTTTAGCCCTCGGCTTATAACACATACTACTTCACTTTTATTATTCAATAGATAATACTCCTTTTCATAAAATCGGTATCTCCATTATTTTCATGAATTTCTTCACATATGAGTCTTTCATTATATGATTTTTAACAATATGTTATGTCGCTAGTAGTCTTCAGTAACCATGATTAACCCATCGTGGGACCCTTTTAGTCGGAATTGGTGACCCACCAAATTAATATTGGGTGGCTGTTTCAAAATGGAGATCAGACGATATATTTGATGATTCGTCTTGGATGATTTTACGTCACGGATAGTTGACGTGACCGAACAAAAACTCAAGTCCACTGAATGTTGCAGAAGGTACACGATAAGAAGATTCTGTTCTTTGCACGTTAGGCGTAGACCTTTTTCATCAAACGGAATACCGTAATCATCTCGAAACGTTAGACAACTAACCGAAAAATTTTTTGCATTGTCCGTACCGTGGAATTGGTGAAAGAAACACACAATACACGCACGATGATCATTGAATTTCATCCTGGAGGTAAATGGTAGCAATTCTTCAAACATGAATCGGATGCAAAGAGGTTCGACTTCGATTACGGGACTGATCCCGAGAAGTATTATAGTCGCGCTGCGTCACGTCGATCACTAAAGGTGGGATTCCCTATAAGCATCGGACGCGTGCATCCGGCATTGGAAGCAGACGTTTGTCTGATGCTTCAAGTCCAAGATAATGGAATATAGTGAGAGACAGACATACAACTACTCCCAAAATTGAGCGTACAGGATATAAAGGCAGCTCCACCAACATACTCATTTTCGTCTTCTACTACGCTTTCCAACTTTCCGTTATATTAAAATAAGGTCGCTTAGAGAACAATTTAGACGTACTGTGTAAACGGGATGTGAAAAAAGTCTGTGGTCATATGTCGCGCGTGTTAGCGGCATAACACAGAAATACATATAGACTGCGCGTCAGGCTGGGCCGGCGTCTGAACTTTAGAAAGAGACGGGTTACTTTCGGAGAGCTTGCTATCTCTTTCTAATATAACTGAGATAACCATTCAAAATGCAGATTCCCAGAACCTCACCCCCCACTACTCAGATTTAAAAAGAAGTGTCATGTCCTCCGAAAGCTATATACCTCTTTCTAAACTTGGGATACCCGTTTCAGGGAGACGTGTAGTTTTGTTAAGTATAGTACATTTATATGGGTATGTGCGGCGCGCCATCTGGTAGCGTATGGGAAGATCGGCGCGTAGTAACGCAATAGCGACAGTCTGTTGCAAATAGCCACGTGTGAAAGATGATAGACATATACAGGGTGTCCCAAAAATGTCCTCCGACCCGGAAATGGGGCACTCGGGGGATGAATTGGAACAACTTTTTCCTTAGCAACAATGTAAACTGAGGCTTCGTTACTGAGATATTAACGAAGAACCGCGACCAATCAGAGCGCGAGTTTGCCAGCCGAGTTCCCGCGCTAGCGGTGGCTACGCGCTACGCTTGTACTACGAAACTCCGAACAAGTAGGTCACCATGCATCGCAGGAAACCGCGTATAATAATAGCAAATAAACAAGACGTAACAAATAAAATCATACTTTTTATCATCTGTCGTTTGTTATTTAAAGAGATTAATGAATGAAACGTAAATGTAGGCAAATTATGTTTAACGTAAAAAGACGAATGCACATTTACATTTTTGTAAATTCCTTTTTACGAATTTGTAAATTTCCTTTTCAAATAACGTGTGAACGAAAAGGTAATGTAACAAAGAATAAACGAGAAGTGATTGTAGTTCGGTGAAATTAATAAAACAATAATGACCAATAAACTGAATAGAACTCACCCTTACGGAAATTCACCTGCAGCGTAGAAACCTGCGTCAGTAGGTCAGTGTACCGAGCCTGGGCATCGACGGACGAAATGGTTTATGGCAGGGTAGAGTCCATGCCACTGGTGATCGCAGGTATGCGACACCAGCCGACGTTAAGAGTTGCAACGTCAAGTGCCGCCGGGTTAATCCATCGAATATGTATTCACTTCACTGCACTGCACTAACACTGATCACCCGACACAATCACTTAATGTATTTTTAATCCAACGTGTTGTTACTACGTTAGGAAAATTCGTATCCCCGGAAAGGGCCGATTGGTTTCAATTTTTCAGATGTTTTACGTAACCACACTTGCACACCAACACCCGCACATCCGTTATTGTGTACGTACCAGCATAAGATTCCGTAATACTCTTGTGAACTGAACATCTCTGTCGCCCGATTGCTAACCGACTGACAGCATTTTTCCGAAAGGGCTTCCTCTACCCCCAAGTAGTTTCCCATCGATACATTGTGAGTTCACTCCCACCACGACAAGTTTTAGGTAAAACGAAACGAACGGTTCCAGGATAACACGTGCTTTGCAAAAGTGCAAGGGAAGAACCGTCGCGCAGTTTCTCCAAGGCGCCGTAGCCCGTTAATTTATTGCCAGGGTACCCACTGCTTCGAGATAGAAAACAGACATCACGTACATCGGCTTGAAAATGTCCGAAATGAAGAGGCCCTGGCCGACCACTCTTGTAGAGGCCGGAGTGGAATTTTCGGTTCTTTATGGCTCAATTTCTTCGGCCTTTTTTTTTAGTATTCCGTCAAATATCTCGGAATTTATTAGAAATATAAAAACCGTATAATTTCCAATATTGTGTTTTGTTTTGATATTGAATCTAGTTATCTCATTAAATTCCAGAATAATCCCTTTCTTTAAACAATCTTTCGACGACTCCTGACAGTGCGCGCTGCAGGTAAATCCAAAAAAAATACTACCGTATTCGTTGAACTCTTTTTCGTAAATCATTGACACTTTGATATTGCTTTTAATCTCATTGAAATAGTCTGGGTGCGTTAGCGATACCATCAGTCGACTGTAATAGTGGAGCGCCCGATTCTTTTACCGGAACCGGGGAGCACCGCTGTCTTCAATGGGTTACTATTACGTTAATATGAACCGCATCACCCTACCGATAGGCTTATTTTACGGAAAAGAATTTAACGAATACGGTTTTTATATTTCTAATAATTTCCGAGATATTTGACGGAATACTAAAAAAAAAAATACGTATGAAATGTTTTCATGAGAACTACAATTTCACAAAGTTGTAATAAAATTGTCGATTGTCAATTCTGTTGTGAGTTCACGATTGCTACGAGGCCGAAGATTTTAAGCCATAAATAACCGAAAATTCCACTCCGGCCTCTACAAGGGTGGTCGTCCAGGGCCTTGCAGCGTCAACTGACACGTGTCGGTAAATTTTTTTCCCTGCTCCTCGAGATAGACAATGTACACTGTACTTTCCAACTCGAAGCAAGGGATACGTTGATGGTCCTCTTCATTTCGGACATTTTTAAGCCGATGCACGTGATGTCTGTTTTCTATCTCGAAGGAGTAGGTACCCTGGCAATAAATTAACGGGCTACGGCGCCTTGGAGAAACTGCGCGACGGTCCTTTCCTTCCACTTCTGCAAAGCACGTGTTATCCTAGAACCGTTGGTTTCTTTCTACCTAAATCTTGTCGTGGTGGGAGTGAACTCACAATGTAACGATGGGAAACTACTTGGGGGTAGAGGAAAAATTCTGTCAGT